AATTTAGTAAACTTTATTTCATAAAAATAATTTTTTAATGTGAAGAGCTATGAACTTGTGAATAATATATATGATTATACTTTTACAAATAGCACATAATGTGTGAGTTTGACCACTTTGATATTAATTGAAAACGTGGATTTGTAATAACACTGAAATTACGATTGTGGCAAGAATTGGTTTCACGTGCCTTGATTTATATTGTGAAAATACTTTTATGAGAGAATGTATTTATTAAAATGCTTCGCCACAGCGATTGCATGCCGATTATTATGCACAAATGTAGTTGGTTCCTGTTATTATACAATATTATTAAGTTTAAAGAGATTATTCTGTGCACTTGGAAGAAACAGCCTCTTATTGTCCTTCATTTAATGTAAGTTTGCACGTGCTTAAGCATCACATGCTTGCATCATCATTAAGTAGATATTACATCACTACAATTATATTAGATCCAGAGAAAAAAATAAATTAATCTTGCACTGATACAATGTTTCATTTAAAATAACATTCTATATTTAACGTTTTGCAAATCACATTTATTGCTGTGGTTATAGATACATATATGAATTAATCATTTATTTTTATTCCTTTAATGTGTCATACTTCGATATAATATTCACAATAACACTGATAAGAAATGCATAAGATTTGAAACACAGCACATAAAATCATGTATTAAGAAATAATTATTAACAAAGTCACTAGCGAATATAATTTGTTCAACAGGCAATGTATCGACGTATCGTAGAAGCAAGAAGTAATCAAGGCGCCCTTGATCCAGAAATTACGTTACAGTTCCTAAAATCGGCGATTTACTATTTTTTAACTGACAAAGAAAATCATCACGGTCACCTGAACGCTATTGAGAGCATTTTAGGATTCACAGAAGCTGAAAAGCACAATATTGATAAAATATATCGATCAACAAGAAAGTAACGCGTTGTAAACATTTTTAGTCAGTAAATTTCAGTGCAAGCAGCTACAGGGCTTTGGGATGATCCTTTACTCTTTATTTTCAGTGAAAGTAATTTCGAGAATATATGATCACGTGTAAATCATATTTTAATTAGGTACTAGTTCAAATCGATATACATAAATTATGAATGTCTATATTAGTACAGCAACATATAGTATTGCTATATTCATTTTTATAACTGAGACTTCAAATCTTTGACATAAAATACTTTTCATAACTTTCTACATTAGCAGAAAATATGTACATTAACTTTCATTTCCTGCAATTAAAGCTAGATATAAAATGTTTATGTAGTCTATTTAATCAATTTAATTTCAAAATTTTACAATTAACAAACATTTTAGTAGAAAAATCATATATAATCAACTTGTTTGTTTTCCTTAATATACATCATAAAATCAATCAGTAGTTCTGTTAGAAATATCTGTGTCTATATTATGAAAAAATTACTTGCTACATGAAAGAAATGGTAATTTGGAATGTTAGGGTCATTGTTTATTTCATATTTCTCAGTTTTTTGAGTTCATAAAAATTTTTAATAAAATACAACTTTATCATATTTACATTTGTAGATTTTTTAAATTAACCAAAAGGTACAATGTAATTGCAAGTAATTATTTTTGTTTTCATTTTTCATTATGTAAATATTTACGACAAAATTACTGAAATATAAATTGAATATTAATTACGAATTACTAAACTAAAGTTATATTTCACATAATGTATTATAAACATTAACTTTAGTTACAGCTACATATACATATACTACAGTCCAAAAATTTGGGGTCATTACCTCATTTTCTTATTAACAAAAAATAACTGAAACAAGTAAAATATTTTTTAATTATAACTTTAATTAACTTAATAACATTGATTTTGATCATAAGTACAAAATGGTGCCAAACCCTAAAGTTTTGAACAGTAGTGTATGCATACAACAGTGGATTCCATAATTTATGTATCAAGACGAAGCTCTGAACTGTATTACTTGACTGTTTTCCATATTCTATTTATAATGATAAAGACATTGAAAATTTTTTACTGTATAATAATATTCAAATTAAGTAAAATTAAAAAAACTGTGCATTGCATACTCAAAACAGTTAATACTTTCTGCATTTTAGGATTTAATATTTGTACATATATAGAATATGTTGCTTAAAATTATGTTGTTCTTACTGCCATTTTTGCCTACCTTTTATATAGATATGAATAATACATATTTCCGAAAGTTTCTAACTCTTATTTATGTAACATATACATACCTATATATGTATATATATATATATTATAACTGGATTTCAATGAAAGTAAGGTTGCAATATAGAAAACTATAAAAAAAATTTGTGTTTCAACAAAAACGAATAATAGACATGTTTATATATAAAGATAAATAAGAAAATCTGTTCAAAATACATTAGTATTAAAATACATTTTGTTCTCAACAAATTTAAATATTCAACATTGCTCTAATCACATTTTATTGTATTTTTTGCACCTTGCTCCATGCTGTTATAATTGCAGTTTTTAATTCTGATGTATTCTGATACTACTTATTTTTAACATAAACTTTCCAAAGAATGGTGGAATAAAATTTTTCTGTATATTTTTCAATGATACAATTTTGCTTTTATTCAAATTCATTTGTAACATATACAAAGATGAAAACTTTTGGATGATTTTATAACTATAAAACAATGATTTCAACTACAATAATTTACTTTTTAATATATCTTCCAGAATTGAGACAAGCAATTTTTAATTTTTGCACTTTTTATTATATTTTGTTTCGTTAAAATTGTCTTCACACAATTGCAAATAAAAAGTAACAAGATACTTTTAAAACACACAGATACGAAGAGTAAATACAAAACTAAAATAATGTAACATAATAAGTTGTGAAAACTTACTAATTTATTTACTATGTTGTTTATGTTGTTTATAGATGAAAATTTTTTTTAAATCAAATATTTATAAAAATTTTATTTGTCCATATGACTTACTAAATTATATTCTGTGGCAAATTTTATATTAAGTTTTTCTATCAAACTTAATGCATTGTATGTATTTAATTGAAATAATCTATTTATTGAAGTTATTATACTGACACCAGAATATGTTTAAAAACTTTCACCTTTATTACATGCAATTACATTCTCAATAATATGAATACAATTTTTGCATTATTAAAAATGTAATTTTAATATAAATTTCT